TATACACTGCAGGTTATCAGGTGGAGGCTGGCGGTATCCACGGCTGTTCCATGCGGTAATTATACGTTGCTCCTTGAAGTTACTGAATGTTAAGCTACAAGCAGAGGCTCTCCACCTATCATTCAACCTCAATTATGGTAATTACGTCCTCTGAGAAGGCTGACAATGGCCTGGGAGGGGAAATGGGTGACAAGTGACTTGGGAGCTGGTGGCTGAGCAGGCCTGTGGGGTGACCATTCTCACACGAATGGCAGTGACTGGCTGGTGTTCTTAAATACTTTTCAAATGCTTAAAGAGAACATTTCCTGGACCAGTTTGGGGAAAACTTGTAATGTTTTTCTGGAGGAGTCCAGCTTCAAGGGGAGGAACTCTTCTTTAGTGAGAGGATTCAAGCGACTGGTCATCGTCTGTAGCACCTCGGTGGTCAACAGACTTCTAAAACCTCAATAAATAAATAAAAGTGCTAACAGTCCACTGGGCTGTATCAGTGGCTCAAAGAACTCTCAGCTCTGGCAAGGACGGTAGGAGGGGGTTTCCCCCACAGCCCCGATGACAGCCCGGCAGTGCCCTTGAGTGGAGGCCCTCAGCTAATCAGCTCCGTCCTGGAGATGTGACATTGAATCCTGACATTACAAACCCTACAACACCCTGAGAATCAGCAACAGGCCCACTTTGCAGGTAACTGAGGCTCAGAAACAGATTCTAACCCCACCGTGAGTGTGACCCAGAGCCAGGGGGCTGACATCTGAGCCACGTCTGTCCACCACCCCACAGGGCCTGCAGGCACCTACATTTGCAAAGACTGAGAAAGGGGTCCAGTCCCACAGCTCCCCACCTGGGTCAAAAACTGAGGGTGAGCCTGCAGATGTCACTTGACTTTCCCAGTGAGTTGTGGTCCTCAGACGTGGAAGGCCACGTCCTGCTTTCTGAGGCCTCAGACTCTGGTGGGGCACAGAAGGGCTGTCCAGGGGCTGCACCCAGAACTTTTTATCACAGAAATCTGCCCAGGAGGCACCTGATAGCTGTTCCTCGAGGGAATGGATGAGAGGGTTGATGCAGACCTATGATTGGGCCACAGGCCCCCCGGCCCAGACCCCCTAGCTGCCATCTTCCAGGGTGTAGGGCCGGCCCGTATAGGGAATGTGCAGGCGTTATCCCGGTGGGTTCTGGAGCTCTCCGATTCCATGGCTCAGCCTCAGCATTCCAACGGAGGCAGGGACTTCACACAAAGCTGTGAAGCTCCTTCCCACAATGGGGTGGGAGGACAATGCTCTCTTCCCAGGTCTAACTCTCTTCCTGGGTCTAACCCTCTTCCTGAGTCTAACCCTGTGAAATGTTCACTGGGGAGCAGCCCCTTCCCAGACATCCAGGGACAAAGACACCCAAGGCTCTTTCCTCAAAGAGCTTCCCAGAGGACCACGGGGAGGGCTACACATAGCAACCGGCTGGGATCCTTTTGGTTCATAGCCCCTCACGGCCTGGAGGTGCAAGGGGCAATGGTTGGAGGACACCCCAGACAGCCTGCATCCTCTAGGAGCCTGATACCTCCCAACACCAAGAACCCCAACTCAGGGGATGTCTCATCTGTAGGTGGCTTTGCTGGGCAGGACAGGGGTCAGCAGAAGTGCCCAGGAGGACCCAACATCTCTGGGGCACGAACCCCCTCAAGAGAACAGCTTGGGGAACCACAGCCCCAGGGTAGAACCCGTGCCCCTGGAAGGGAGAGCCAGGCTCCTTTCCTAAGATAGATTAGTTTTTTCCAAGAACACTGCCCAGCAAGCATTCTTACCCTAGTTTTGTTGTTTTAATTCAGACTTAATGTTTTAGGTTTACAGAAAAACCAAGCAGATGGTAGAGGTCCCCCACAACCCTTCCCCCACCCAGTTTCTCCTGCAATGACCTTCTCTTATTAGGGTGTAGGTGTGTGACAGTCAAAGAACCAATACTGATACGCTGTTATTAACGTCTGAGGTCTCCACCAGGATTCACTCTTGTGCTGTATTTTCCATGGGTTTTGGAAAGTACACTAGGGTCCCATACTCACCATCAGATGACCCCAGTCTTAGGGCAGCCCGCTGGGCACAGGAGGCTGGGCAGCCCGCCAGCTGGGCAGATCTCTGCCTGAGCCTAGGCTGGAACCAGCCCCCTGCTGCTCCAGAGGTGGCCTCTGCCGTTTGGTCTAGTAGACACCGGGGGCTCTGAGACCCTGAGCAGGTCATGGCAGGTTGTGTGTTCCCAACGTTCAAATCTATAACTCAGGAGGTCCCAGCACTGCCCTTGCAAGGGTGGACAAGTCCAAATCTATAACTCAGGAGGTCCCAGTACTGTCCCTGCAAGGGTGGACGGGGCCTGGCGGGGCTGCTTTCTTATGCTTGGAGGGTAGGAAGTGGTTGCTGTGTGCAGGTGTGAAGCCGCAGGTCCCTGTCCACACCAGCCTGGGCACCCTGGTACCTGCAGTGATGGGAGTGGGGGGAAGATACAGTCCTAGAGCAGGGGGTGGGTGGGGGAGTCCTTAAGCTCTGAAATGCATAGGTGTGCTCCTCAAACCTCAACCCGACCTTGAGTCTCAGGTGATGTCACCTTATGTGCTGGGCAGTCCTCACTCCAGGCTTTTGATGGGTGGGTGCTGAATCGCATTTCCAGGGCCACTCCAAACAGATCCTTACGATGAAACTACCTTCTACAGTCACTGTTGCCATCTTCCAGTTCTTCAGGCCCTCAACCTTGTCCCAGCTTTCCTGAGGTGGGGCTTTGGCTTCACCCACCTTCGCTGGTGGCTTCGGTCCCTGCAGACTCAGAGTTCTCAGATCCTCTCCCACCTGCTCCGGTGGTCACAGCCTGGTTGTTCAGACATCCACAGTGGTTTGCAAGTCCTCCTGGAAGGCATCTTGGCTGGGAAAGAGGGAACAAGGCCAAGCTTTCCCACCGCTGGATGCTGCTCTCGGCTCTGGAGCTGAAAGCAGGCGTCTCGGGCAGGGTCACTGACCCGCAGTTCCGAGAAGCCAGCTTTGTGCTCGCGCTCGCAGCGGGGACGGCCCGGCGGCACCCTCTGGCTCTCCTTCTCTGGCCAGAGTCTGTGTGGCCTCCCCAGTCCGGGCGGGGGTCTCCGCTGTCCCCCCGCTGGGTCAGGAGCGTAGAGGCCGCGGCGACCACCTGGGAAAGGCACCGACTCTGAGAACACACGAGCGGGAAGCTCCGCAGGTGATCTTGTCCTGCGGACATGGGTGGGGGATTTGACAAAATCTGCGGAGAGTTTGGGTTGTCGGAGCTGGGGTGGGGTCGCTACCGACGTCCAGAGTGCAGGGCCAGGGTGCTGTTGACATCCCGCAACGCGCAGGGAGTCACCAACCCGAGAACCATCCGGCTCGCGGATCCGGAGCAAGGCGCCGGCAGAGCTCGGCAGAGGCACCCGCGCAGCAGCCGCACGTCCTCCGGGAGCAGGGGCCACGCGCTCGGCCCTTCCGCGAAGGGAGCCGGGTCCACAGCTGGGCCTCCCGATCCCGCCGCCGCGGCAGGAGGGAGGCGGGACCAGCCAAGTCTCGAACTCTGGGCAGCGCCGGGTGCCCGGACCACCCCGCGGGGATCCAGGGGGCCGGCGAGGGCTCGCGTCGGCCAGTTCTCGGGGGTCTCGGGTTTCCAACCCGCCTCCGCCTTGCACCCGTCAGGGACGCGCTGCTGCCGACGCCCTCCCGCCCCGACTCCATGTCCAGGCCCGGCCCTTTCCCCCGGACCCCGCTCGCGCCCCGAAGCTGCCTCCCGCCCCCGCCCTCGCCCTGGCACCCGCGCCCCCGATTCGCCGCTGACACGCTGTCTGCGCGTCCGGCCGGGCGTCCCGGGAGGAGTTTCCGGCGCGGGGCGGGGCGGGGCGGGGCGCGCGTGGGCCCCACCCCCCAGCTGAGCCCGGCTCTGCTTACTCTGACTCGCCGACTTCACAGGCTAGGCGGCGGCGGCGGGCGCGGAGCTCTACGCGTGGCTCTAGCGGCTCCAGCAGCGCGGGCGGCCCCGGGCGGGCCAGGATGGGCGGGCGGACGCGCGGGGGACGCGGGGGGCGCGCGAGGTGATCGCCGGGACTCGAACCGCCCCCCCCGCCCCGCCCGGCCGCGCCAGCTCCAGGGTCTGCTCCGGGGGCGCGGACGCAGGGCCAGCGGCGGAGTCGGAGCCAGAGCATGCGGGGCACGGCGCGGGCGGCCTGGGGGCGCGCGGGGCAGCTGTGGACGCGGCCCCCCGCCTCAGGCCCGCCGCCGCCGTTGCCGCCGCCGCCGTTGCTGCTGCTGACCGCGCTGCTGGCCGTGCTTCTGGGCGGCGCGGGCGCGCAGTACTCCAGCGACCTGTGCAGCTGGAAGGGGAGGTGAGTGCGCGGTGCGAACCTGGACCTGCCCCTCCGCTTCTGTTACCCCTCTCCGGGGCCGGTGGATTGTGCGGGGGCAGGCGCGGAGCTGAGGCTCGGGGGACCCGCTCTCCAGGCCAAATCCGGGGCCCGCCGCCCCTCGCCCCCGGTTCTAGAACAAAAGAGCCCACGGCGTCCGGGTCCCTGGCCAGGAGGTCGCCCGGGAGAGGCGCGCCTGGAGCGCGCGGGGTCGGTCCCGGCCCGGCCGCCCACTCGCTCCCTCCGCTCATGTCTGAGCCTCGGGGCCACCGGTCCCGCGACCCACCCCGGGGGCAGGCAGGGGTCGGTCCTTGGGGCCTGCGGGCTCGGGAAGTTGCGCTCTCGGGGCCGGGTGAGCCGGGCCTGCGCCGGGGCAGAGCGGGAAGGGGCGGCCGCGGCCGCGGGAGGGAGCGGCGGTTTCGGTCACCGGCGCGGACCGCGGCGAGGCCCACTTCTGTGCGGGCGGGGAGCCGCGGGCGGGCACCTGTGCAGGGGTCCGAGTGCGGCTCCGGCCGGGCCCCCCGCCCCGGCCCCGTGAAGGTCAGGCCGCCCTTGGCTGCGGCGCGCGCTGCGCTGGGCTACCACCCCCCGCCCCTGGCCAACCCGCGGTGGCCGCCGAGGGCTTTCTTTAACTCGAGTGCCGCCGGGAGCGCGCCCCGGGGACTGCCGGGGCTCCGACGCGAAGCCGAGGGCGCCGAGGACACCGCGGCCGCAGCCCGCCCCGCGCGAGCCTTGGAGCCGCGAGTTCGAGTTCGCAGACGTGCAGGGCCCGGAAGAACACGCCTCCTGGGAAGGCTGGGCAGCCCCCGGCCTGGGTCCCGCTTTCCCGACCCAGCAGGGCGCCCCCGCTTCTCGGCCCGGTCCCTTCGGCTGGAGGGACCCGGCGGCTGCCACCTGCCCCCTCCCCGCTGGGGGCCGCGTCGCGCGGTGGTTTCAAGGGAAGCTGTTTTCCGAGGAGGTTGGGGCCGAGCGGACGCGGGGCTGGTGTCAGCGGGGCGGGCGCGGGCCACCAGGAGAGAGGCGCAGCCGCCCGTCTCCGTCTCTGCGAAACCACAACCACCCAGCACCCCCAGCGGAGTCTCAGTGCGGGGCGGGGGTGGAACGGGCGCTGCGCCGGGAGGTTCGCCCGGAGAACCGTGGGCGGCGCCGGCGGTCCCGGGATCTGCGGCCGGCGGAGGCAGAGCGCGGACCGAGCTGAGGTTGGCCGCGGGCGGCGGGCGATCTGGGGGAGGGTCGGCTGGGAGCGCTGGCGCCGGCGGAGCTGGCTGGGAGCCTCGGTGCCGACAGCTCTTTCGGGTCTGCCCTTGCCCCGCAGAGTGATTAAACTCCAGTCTGCTGCCCCTGCCTGGTGGGTCGGGCACCCCCACACCGAGGCCTTGGGGCGTTCTGCTTCAGCAGCCCGAAACCAGAAGCGGCTCCCGCCGCCAGGCCTGAGTGTGTGGAGAAGGAGCCGGCGCCCTTTGCAGGGTGTCAGGGGACTGTGTGCCTGGCGGGAGGGGCGCTTCCCGCACCCGTAGTGAGCCAGGGGTGGGTGGGTGACACGGCGGACACTAGTGCTTCACCCTCCAGGACCTGTGCGGCCCCCGGCCCACCTGGAGGCAGTCTCCGCCCTCGTTACCAGCGTTCTCCTTGCTTCAGACTCCCCCAGGGACGTCCCCCACCTTCAGAGCCTGCGGAGCGCAGCTGTGGGGGCTGCTGGAGCTGCAGGGCTGTTCTGGAGGGGACATGCCGGGCTGTGATTCTGGGCATAAGTGAGACTCTTTCGTTGTGATCACTGCCTGGTTGACGCACACACTTCACAAATCAGTGACAGAGACTCGCCGTTGAAGCCGGAGTGCGCTGGCCAGCTTGTGACTTTTCACCAGCTGTCCTGAAAAAGCACAGGGTGGGGCGGGCACTGGTGCTCCGGGTGGATTCTGATCCCTGATAGCCGGGAGTTGCCCCCATGACATGTGGCAACAGCCTCCGTTGCTAGGTGTTTCTAAGCAATTAAGTAGGAGATTAGGAAACCCCTCTCCGTGGGGGGAGGCAGGACCAGCGCCCAGTCTTTATCAGCCAGTGGCCATAAAGGTGAACCATGAACTTTCCCACTGCTGTGAGCATCACAGGTGTGGTCACACCTGGTTCGACTCCTGCAAGGTGGGGACTGAACTCGCTAGGGGGTTCAAAGCCCTTTCTGGCTTTAATACAGGAGCCTGGCGTTTTGTCTTGGTGACCCAGAGTTGTGGTGTGTGGGCTGGTGCCAGAGCGCCTGCACTGCTTCCTTCAGCCAGTCCCTTTATCCACTTGGGATTTGCCCTCCATTCCATAAAGGTGCCCATGAGCATGTCGACCTGGTGGTTACCATTGCTGACTCTTGAAAATGCATCCCTTGGGTCTGAGGATCTGACATCAACTCAGTCTTGTCAGCTCCCTAAAGTTGAGAAGAACCACAGTTTTTTCTGCACGCTCTAGTTTTGTCACAACGGAACGGAGTTATTCTGTTTATGCTGAGCTTGTGTCACCTGCATCTCACGTGAAAATCACAAAAAAAAAGTCACGTTTTTGCAATTCCAGCAATTTTTCATAAACATGTTTTTTTTCAGGTTTACTGTGGTGCTGAGTGGTTCGAGGGGAGACGTTTGTGGGCTAGATTTTCTGGTAGGAACCGGCACAGACCCTGAGTCTTCGACTTCATGCAGAGGTCTGCTGGGTCCCAGGCTGAAGGACGCAGGGTTTCACATTTTTTTGTCTACACAGGTCCTGGACATCACATGCTACTGATTTTAATGTGAATATCTCCATGTCAAGGGACTTGTTGGGGTCCTGTTGGTCTGGCTGTTTTGGAAGAACACGAGAGGAGGGGGAGCAGGCCCTGTGCTGGGTGCAGACCCCTCTGAGTGGGCTGAGGAGACGTTAGCTAAAGGGCCAGGAAGCAGGGTGCCTCTTTCTCCTGTGTCCACCTGTGTTTTGTCCTTGTCCTCCTTTTACCCAATGTCTTCTGAGTGGGTGGAGCCAGCTGTGTCCACCAGATTCAGGTAGCATGTGCTAGGCCAGGATGCCCCAGCTCAGGCTTGGGTCAGTCTCCCCCTGAGCAGAGGGGTTTGGCTGCCTGTCCCCAGGAGGGTGCCCTCCCTCCGCCCCTGCAGAGCTGTGGCTGTTCTCCTCCCCTGCCCTGATGAAGGGAGTGCTGTCAGAGGTGACCAGAGCCCTGGGTGAGAGTTACCCACTCCCTCGACCTTAAGGTCCCCCCAAGAGGGAGGCAGGACCAGCACCCCATCTTTATCAGCCAGTAGCCATAAAGGTGGTCAGGACGGTGTCTGTGGTTTCCGTGGAGAGGGTTGAGGCTCAGTTCCCAAGCACAGGCAAGAGAACAGTGGCCTCGATGCCGGAGATGGGGCGGGGAGGGGATGAGAAGTCTGTTTCGGTTGCTTAGGAAGAGCTGACTGTAGCCGAGTGTGTCAGCCACTCACCATTTAGTCTAATTGCCACACAGCAGCCTCGTCAGCCCTTCCCCACATGCATGTTAGATGAGCTTGTGTGAGATTTATTGACTGTAATTTGGGAGTCTGTTCTGGGTGTGTGATCCTGGCCGCTGCCTGGGCCACTCATGACCTGGGGCTTTGTGGGGGCGGAAGGGGGTGAGGGGGTGCTGCCCTGTGATGTGGCCGCAGCCTATGAAAAGTGAGGTTTGGGGGCCCAGAGTGTGAGTCACCAGCGGTAAATGCGAACCACATGTTACACATTTTCTCTGCTGCAGAAAGGGCTTCTGGTGCCTGGCTCAGGCCAGGGCTCTGGAAAGAGCATTGCTTATTTCACATAAAAATCCTAAGAATGTGGGTGAACCTGTCTGAGATCTGATCAGAACCCACTTTCAATGTAATAAAACACTTAGTTGAAGTCACTGGGTTAGTTCCAGGCCCATTGGTGGTTATGACGTGACTATTAGCCACCAGCTGGCATTTACATTGAAGTGCTCAGAAGGAGCAGCTTAAGGGTTTTGATGTTTCAATTTCTTGAAAATATAACTGTTTCTACCCAGGACCTGCCTCTCCAGGAGTGTCGTGCACTTCATTTTTTCTGTTTAGCATTTATTAGGGGTGAAATTAGCTTGCTACTCACATGCTGGCCCCCGCCTGAATCCTCACCCTGTGTAGGAAGTTCACCTGGCGTTTGCAGTGAATCTTGCTTTAATGAGAGCTTATTTTTTGCAAATACTATAATCAGTGCAGGGTCTTCAGGCTTTAAAAAAATGATCAAATCATTGGCTAATGAAGTGCTAAAAGACAAAACTCATCAAGAACCTCCATTGCCCCAAGTTGCCAACACTCGTAATTAATTTAAGAGCTGTTCTCTGGGGCAGGTTGCTTCCCCGGGTCTGCCTCCACACTTGGTGGGGCCCCATTCTCACTCTCACTTTACCTCTAGCGTCCTGGCCCTCACGTGGTCATCTGGAACTATAGTTGGTACCCAGGGGCTGTTGGCATTCTCATGATATTCTGGAGGAATCCATCCCTTCCTTGGGGCTCCATCCCACTGCCCCTGTGCCCTCAGTTACCCTGATTCAGAGACACTACGGAGATTGGTGTTTGACGCTGGGGCAGCAGAGGGGCAGACGCCGAGTGTTGGGGGGTGGCTGGGGAGCCTGGGGGGCACCACCTGCACTCGTGGGAGCTCAGCCCTGCCACACTGTGGCCATTGGCACAGGTGCATGGAAGGAACTGGGTGGGGGCCCCTGTGAAGGCCCCATCCTGGAAGTGGGCCCAGAGCCGAAGGGCGGAGCTGGCGCTGGCCTGCCTCACAGGCACAGGTCCGCATGGCACCTGTGGCCAGCAGCGGGTGGGTCCCTGAGCCACCATCATTTCAAGCAGGTGTCCTCCTCACCGGCTCCCTGTGGGTGGATGTGTGCTGGGGCAGGAGCCTCGGCTTGGGGCCTGGGTTCTCCCTGCGGTGGGTGGACGTGTACTGGGGCAGGAGCCTCAGCTAGGGCCTGGCTGACGTGTCTCCCTCCACAGTGGGCTGACGCACGAGGCACACAGGAAGGAGGTGGAGCAGGTGTATCTGCGCTGTGCGGCCGGCACCGTGGAGTGGATGTACCCGACAGGCGCGCTCATCGTGAACCTGCGGCCCAACACCTTCTCGCCCGCCCGGCACCTGACTGTGTGCATCAAGCCTTTCAGGGACTCCTCGGGGGCCAATATTTATTTGGAAAAAACTGGAGAGCTGAGACTGCTTGTTCGGGATGGGGACGGCAGGCCTGGCGGTGTGCAGTGCTTTGGCCTGGAGCAGGGCGGCCTGTTCGTGGAGGCCACGCTACAGCAGGACATTGGCCGAAGGACCACGGGCTTCCAGTATGAGCTGATCAGGAGGTACAGGACTTCGGACCTGCACGAGCTGTCAGGTGAGTGGCCTGCTCCGGGTGGGATGGGGGGGTGGGGTGGGGGGGTTGGCGTGGGCTCCCCTGTCTAAGCGGTGGGCTGTGTCATCATGGCAGGTGTCTCTGATTTCTCCTAGCCCCCTCGTCTGCTCAGCCTTGGTGAAAACACTTCTTGCTTCAAATGTGGTGGGTTTACCCAAAGAGGCCCACAGGTGGCTGGGGTTGGGGGTCACTGGCACCGGCAGAGGGGCCCTCCTGGAGGTGTGACATGGTGTAGGGGGGTGTGGGAGGTTCAAATTAAACTGCCTGTGAAATGCGGCCTTTCCAACTAGAGCCACCTGTTGTGAAAAGACTGGCCCATCTGGGTGGTGGTCTGGGTGGAACAGCCTTGGAAGAGCAGCCTGCCTCCTGGGAAGTGTGTCTGGGGACCGTGGTGGGAAGTGTGGGAGTGTGGTGGGAAATGGGAGTGTGGCGGGGAGTATGTCTGGGAGCATGGCCAGGAGTGTGCGTGGGGAGCATGGCGGGGAGTATGGGAGCATGGCCAGAAGTGTGGCCGGGAGTGTGGCTGAGAGTGTGTCTGGGAAGTGTGGCCAGGAGTATGCCTGGGAAGTGTGGCGGGGAGTGTGTCTGGGAGCATAGTGGAAAGTGTGTCTGGGGACCGTGGCGAGCGTCCTCCCGTGGTGGCACGGCGGGTGCTGAGGGACATGCCCTGTGCTTATGGACCATGTAGCTCCTTTGAAATGGGTGCCTTTCCCATTCAGACGGCCCTGGAAATTGGCTAGGTATTTCTGGTGTCAGCTGAAGACCCTGAAACGTCAATTTTTGGATGGGAGCTGAGGCTGACTCAGCTTGGACCGGTGCTGAGCTATGATGTCCAGAATGTGGGACCAGCCCTGGTCCCAGAGGGGTTTCGTGGGTAAAATAAACCAACAGATTCCCTGCGTGGCAGGCAGGAAGTGGAGGTGTCAAGGGGTATCTGTGGATGCCTGTGCCTGGGGGAGAGGTCCTTCGTGGAGGGCTTTGTTGGTCTCTAGAAAATTCTGTGGGCAGACCCCAGGAAGCATGAGGTCCCGGGAGGCACATGTAAGCTGTGTGACCTCATGGTCTGTGTTACTTCAGCCTCTGGTCCCTGGAGGTCCCACCTCTTGCGCTGTGAGCAGGCCCAGGGTTCTGTCTTTTGGGGACACCAGGGCCAGGTGCAGGCTCCACACTGCTGCTGGTGGGGTCTGAATGTGGGGCACGGGGCCCTTTGAGCACCATCAGCTCCATAGGCAGGGTGGTCACCGTCCAGGGCTGTGCAGGGTCTTGGGACTGTGTGAGCTGGGACTGTCTAAACCTCAGCTTGGGAGCTGTTTTAGGGGGGCTGTCCCAGTGGCAGCCGACCAGGTAAACTGTCTTGCGGCCCATTGTTGTCACACATGACTGGGAGTCACTGGTATGACGTGGGCAGAGGCTGGGGGGCTCCTTCATATTCCACAGGATGCCCCAACCCAGAGATTGATCCGGCCCAAAATGTCAGCCGGGCCCAGGTGGAGACACCTGGCTGAGGGGTGGGCATGCCTGAGGTGAGAGGAAGCACCCTGCTGGGGAAAACCAGCCGCATGAGGATCTGAAACGTACAGACATGTCCTGAGCAGAATCCCACACTTTTGTGTTCTGTATTCTTGGCCCAGATCTTTCTGAAATCTCTCTCAAGTGAGTGTTGGACCGACTGACCCGGGTCCTGACTGCCCCATGAGTCCCCGAGTCCTGACTGAGTGCCCCGTGAGCTCCAACTGTCCCTTGGGCCTCAGCCCCTGTGGGGCTAGATGCTGATGTAAGCTCAGCTGTGCCGTGGTTGGTGGCATGCTGGATAAAACTTTGTTGGTGACGGCCTTCATTTCGATCACCAACAGTGCTGGTGGGCTGGAACCTGAGGGAGGGGGCACAAGCCTTGGTCTGGGGGCCCCCGGAGAGAAACTCTCTAGACAATGAAAGCAAGTCTGGAGAAATCCAGGCACCAAGTTCAGTCTTCCTGAACAGAGGGAGAAGGTGCCAGGCCAGATATTAGGAACTTGAAAGTATTTTCACTGCTGATTAAAGTGTTAATTGGTCTTGAAGAGCTGGGCTGCGGTCACATGTTCTGTGGCCTGCCTGAGCTTTGTTCTGCTTCTGTGTGAGAGTCTTAAAGAGGCTGCAGCGCAGTCACTGTCCCGGCAGGTGCACCTGGACGTCCACATTTGCACAGCCCACGTTTCTAGATTTCCAGTGGAAAATCAGTGGTTCTGGTTGTCAGCTGGGTTGACCCTACGGAGCCTATGAGCTCACCTTGGGGAACAAAGACTGTCTCTCCTGCCTCTGGGGGTGGGGTCCGAGGCCTCTAGGTCCTATGTAGGCTGGGGTGGTGGGTAGGTTGGGAGAGGCAGCGAGGGTCGGGGCTGAGTGGCCTTGGGTTCCCGTGGGGTCACAGGGAGGCAGCAGCCCCTCGTGAGGAGTGACTTGAGCCACCAGGGGCTGGAGCAGACATCTGGCCATGGGTCCCACCTCGCCCTCCGTGTGCTCCTGGGTCTGTAAGGCCCTGAGCAGGACCGTGCCCAGCACACGCCAGGCTGGCTTTTGGTCCCAGAACTTTGCTGTGTCCTATGAGGCAGGTGCTTAGGTTCCCCTGTTTATGCCCCATGGCCCTGGGGCATCTGCTTAAACCCAGCTGAGATGATTTCCAGTGCCCTGTGGGTGGTGGGTTGCTCATCGGAGGAAGGAGACCTGCAGGGACCCTTAGAACTGGGGACAGGCCCAGACTCTCAGGTTCACCGGGGTCCCTGGAGCTGGGACCCAGGCCTAGCATCACCACGGGAACTGGTACGGGTGTCTGACCCACCTGGACTACAGGGGCAGGGCCCTCATGAGAAGCCTCCCCTATCCTGATGGGGTTGAGGAGCAGGAGGAATCCAGGAGGCTGATGCATCTCCTCTCCCCAGGGTATTTGCCTTTCATCAGGGGATGGGGCCCCTAAGCCCTTAATGCCACAGGAATGGATACATAATGTGGAATGTCGGGGCCATCTGGCAGCAGGGACACCATCCCCTGGGCACGGCTGGCTCCCCAGCACTCTCCCACCCGTTCCTGCACTCGCGACAGCCGTGACAGCTTACGGAGACCCCCCTGAGCCTGAGGTGTGCTGATACCTTGGGCCTGGTGTGTGCTGCCCTCTGTGATTCAGAAGTTCCAGATAGATAGTCCTGACTTAGGAGGACAGAGTCTCCATGGGCTGGAATCCTGGACAAGGATGTGTGAGCCCATTCCCTGTCCAGCCAGCACGAAACCTGCTGCTCTGGTGCCTCTCCTGGGTGTGACTGTAGCACATTTGTGCTGCATAATCGGCTTGAATAAATGAGACACACCCATAACCCAGAGCTGGCCAGAACACGGGCATTCCAGAACACGAGTCTATTCCAGGGGTATAGACTGGGCCAGGTGGGGGGCCCGGGGGACCCGGCCCCTGGGTCTTGGGATTTGGCTACCTATGGGCCAGACTTCCCAGCTCTGCACCAGCCTCAGGCAGCACAGATGCCTTTACTGGATGTGAGGAAACCCTGCAGGACAGGAGGGGCGGGGAGTGGACAGGTGCAGCTCCAGATGGTGCCCAGATCTGTGCTCAGCAGACCTGGCTGAGGCTATGTGGTGCTGCTGTCCCCAGGCCAGTGCATCTGGGAAACAGGCCCCACCCAGTGGGTTGGGGATGTAGGTGGGGACTCCGTCTGGTTCTGGGGAACACAGACCAGAGGCTGTCCAGGCGGGTCAGGATTCCAGTCTGTTCTTTGGCTTCTCCCAGGGCCTTGTGAGCAGGTGCCAGGGCTGGGCAGCAGCATTGTGGACACACACAGTGGCGGGAGGGGACACACACGGTGCTGTCTCAGGCTCTCCAGGACACTGAGTACTACAGCGCCTCAGGGGCCTCCACACCCTTCCCTTTAAAGAGCTGCCCCTGGCTGAGCCCATAGGCAGGTGACCAGCTCGGTGGGCGCAGAGCCCCTGGAGAGGTCCTTGATGGGTGGGAGGGATGGGTGGAAAAGTGGGGAAGACAATCTGCATGATTTCTGGAAGCAGAGAAGGAGAAAAGAGGATTTTCCAGGGCGTCCCATCGCTCATCCGTCTTTCACTTCCTGCCTTGGTGGCTTCTCTCTGGACACTGTAATTTTCATTTTAACCATCTCCTGGCTTGTGGAGAGGAAGGGTGTGACCCCACCAGCTTCCTCACCAGGAAGAAGGAGGGAGAAAGGGAGGGAGGCAGGGGGAAGGGCAGGGGCCAGGGGCCAGGGGCCAACATCCCCAGGGCGCCCCAGCAATGGACTGTAGCCTGGAGTCCAGCTGCACCGCGATGGTGGTGATGGCGGCCTTGGGAGGAGCCTTGGGAGCTTGACCTGGGTCCTGGAGCCCACTGGATCCCGGTCTCTACCCACCTGCTGCTCACTGTTCCTGGAGCCTCAGAAGCGCTGTGTCCCCCGTCACCAGCTGCGTGGGAGTCCCAGCTGTCATGGTCACAGAGGTTTATCACCGGAACTGCCTGAGTCCTGCTGGCTGTCCTTGCCTGGGCAGTCCTGCTGGACTGGTTGGTGTCCGTCATCCTCGGCCTCTCCTCGGAACGAGCTATTCCTGCTTTGCTCATGGCACTGGCTGTCCACCCACACCTACTGTCCAACACAAGTCCCCACAGCAGCCCCCTCAGTCCCGCCCTGCTGGTCCCTCCCACCCAGTGATCTCCCCGAGACGTCCACACCCCAGCTCTCCCCTCTAGGAGGATGGACCAGGACTCCAACCCTTTGCCCTCCCCACCCCCTAGAAACTAGATACCAGTGTCCGTGACCAGTGCATTCCACAGCCATCACGAGCCTGGCTCCCGGTAATAATTGTCTCCAGATTGTACTCTGGAGTCCACCCTGTGCCATTTGTGAAGGCAACTCCACTTTGTAAAACTCAGGATCAGAACGAGGAGGTCTCTGGGGTGCTCTTTATTAGCTCAGCTGTTGATGGGAGGTCTCCGGAGGCTTCCAGCAGGCCAGGCTGCAGGCACTGACCCTCCTGGGCCCCACACCCCTGCCATCGGCCGGGCAAGCCAGGGCGGGGTACCAGGGTGCGTGAGGGGAGCGTCTCCATCCTCCCCCTCGCTGTCAGCTGAGGTCGCTGGGCCGTGACTCACAGAGAGTGAGGCGCCAGGGCTTGGATACGCTTGCATGCCCAGACCCAGGGTGGGACGAATGTGGCTGGGCTGTGGGCTGTGCTGCCCCAGGGTGGGAGCCTACGCACTGACCACATTTGCTGACCGGGAGGACAGGCTTCGGGCACTTCCCGCCTCCTGCCCTCCAGGGCTCCTGGCCCAGCCCCAGCTGCCATGGCTGCCCAGGCAGAGGGTGCTGCTCAGTGCGGGGACCCTCAGGTGGGCTGTGGTCACTGTTCTTGTCACCGACCAACCCCCACCCATGTGACAGGTGCTGGGCTGGGACCTCTGACCCTGTGGGGCTGGGCAGCTACGAGCCTGGGGGCAGTCTCACCTCCGGGGGATAAAAGTGCTGCCTGAAATTTGAGCCCCTCGGGCTGCGTGGCCTCTCTGTGTCTCTCCCAGACTCAGGTGGGAGTCTGTGCTGCTGGCTTCCATCTGGCCCCCACCTGCATCAGGCCCAGCATCGTCAGCAGGTCCCCAGCAGGGGAGGGGATGGGGGTCCACATAGGTGAACTAAGTGTCCAGGGTGGGCCACACCCCAGGGCCCCCATAGGAGAGTGCCTAGACCACTGGGCTGCTTCCAGGCTAGGGATCAGGAGCCCCCAGAGCAGAGGCTGCAGTGTGGGTCTGCACAAACCAGCAGGAAGGGGATTTGACCGGAGCTCCCGGCGGCGGGGCTGCTGAGGGGTGGAGGCTCTCCCCAGGGCAAGGCTGGACCGGCCTCCAGGTGCCCGGCAGGTTGTGCTGGCTTCACAGCTTCTTTTTCCTGATAACCTGATGGAAAGAAACACAGGAGGAGGTGGGTGGGCCAGTGAGTCAGGCTGGGAGGTGCCCTTACCCTGCCTGGCGGGGAGTGCTGGCCTCATCCCTGAGGGTTAGGACCCCAGACAGTCACCTCCACCCCAGGGGTCCACAGAGACCTGAGCTTGCCCAGGACACTGCAGACTCCAAGGTCTCATGGACCCCTGTGCAGACCCTGAGGATCCCTGCAAGTTCCTGACCCCAGAAGCCCTCTCTGAGCAGCTGTCTGCACCTTGCCAAGGTGCCAACTGTGCACTCTGCTGTGAACCCCAGGGCCCCCAGGTGCCAGCAGCCAGCTCATCAGGCAGGTGACAGCTCAGCCCAGCTTAGCCCAGCAGGAGCTGCCGGCCAGGGCACAGATGGGAGCTTCCTCCAGGGCCAGTGAACCCCCAGGCAAGGTTGTCCCAGCTCTTGGTCAGGGACCTTCTAGAGCCTTCAGAATGTGAAATGGTGCAGGGGAAACAGGTGTCATTGAGATTTCACATCTCATAGTTTCTACTGAGTTAGGAGACTTGGGGCCAAAACCTGGAGGCTCAGAACAGGTGACGTGAGGCCCTGAAACCTGCAATAAGAGTGAACAATAAAACCGTGTTTCCCGAGTCCACCCTGAGTGTAGGGACGCGTGGTGTGTAGAGGTTTCTGTTTCACGAGGCTCACCCGTCTTAAGAAACTGGGGCGAAGGGCAGGGCGAAGGCTGGGCCGGGAGGAGGTTGGAAGCCGGTTTGGCCGGTGCAGGAGCCTCACTCAGAGCTTTCTGCATTCTCCAGGGGAGGCCAGGCCCCCCAGGGTTCAGGGGCATCAGAGGGGATTCTGCCTGCTCAGGGATTCCCTTCCTGGAATCTCTGCCTTTCTGACCCTTCCAGCTGCTTGGGGGGCTGTTGTGGTCCAGGGAAGTGGGCAGCAGAGCCGTGGGGACTGTCTGCCTTTTGAGGGAGCTGGGAAGTTGGGGTGGTCCCAGTATCATGGGGTGTGGATGTGAAAGTGGGGTGAGGGCACGGTTTCGGGTCAGCCCCAGGTGGGCTTTGCATTTGAAACAGGCATGAGTGATTTCTGAGTCCGGCTCAGCCACACTGAGGATGTAAGCAGGCAAAGAGCATGAAGACCGCTACCCCCCAATCAAGGCCCTGGGATGGGACATGGCTGGCTGAGGGTCTGCGCTCCAGTCCATGCCCATTGTGGCCACGGTGCAGGTCTAGATGGAGCTGAGGGGTCCCCAAGGGTTGTGTTTTCTGTCTCCTGTTCGGCTGGCCCCCCCAGCCTGTGCCTCCCACTCACCTTGGCCACAGAGGTGCCTTGACATGGACACCCACCCCAACTGGGCTTTGCTGAGTATGAGATCATGTGATGTGGTGGGCGGCAGCCCAGAGCCTGCTCTGTGCAGGCTGCTTGCTGACTCTGCATTTCTTCCGCAGCCCCCTGCCGCCCCTGCAGTGACACCGAGGTGCTCCTAGCCGTGTGCAGCAGCGACTTTGGTGAGTGTCTGCCTCGGCGGCTCTGTCTCCCGGGCGCCCCCTCTTCAGGGCTTAGGACAGGCCTCCAGCTCTAGCGCTTTGCTGACCCCCGGAAGGGGACACTCTGCAGAGGCCCAAGGCTAGGCCTTCCTCTGGCCCTGGGGACTGGACTCACCTGAAGGGAGCTGGGGGCAAGCATTTCCCAGTGTGTAAATGTGATCATTGCTCTTCGCGGGGATGCTGGAAGTCCATTGTTTCCCAGCAGCTCTACTTTCTGAAGTGCTTTGTAAACAGCATTTTATCAGCAGCCCAGAGCACCCTTGATGTTGGACACTGCCTGCCCTAACCCGAGTCCATGCTGTTCCGTGCCTAAGGCCCCACTGGCCCTGCGGCTCTGCAGGGGGAGTGCTGTGGGTCCCAGGGCTGCAGCACCTTTGCCTGTGGCGTTGGCACAGATGCTCTCTGCTAAGGGTTTGGCCACGGGAAGCCACGTCCTGCAGGGCTGAGGCTCTGCACCCCATCGCCAAGCTCACGGACAGGCCCCTTTTCAAGGCTTTCCTGGGCCCTGGGTGGGGTCTCCAAGAGCGGCCTTGAGGCTGTCCCCATGCCCACCCTCCCTCTGTCTCCTCACGTCACCCTCTCCTCTGAACTGGACCGGGTCTGTCTGATCAGGGTGCAGAACTGCAGTGGCAGTGTGTGGGGTGGGGGGCCTGCGGCGGCCTGGCTTGCTTCCCCTTGCTCACCCCCCACCCCCTGTCTCCACCTCCTTCCCTGCACAGCCGTTCGAGGCTCCATCGAGGAAGTCACCCATGAGCCGGAGCGGCAGGACTCGGCCATCCACCTGCGTGTGAGCAGACTCTACCGGCAGAAAAGCAGGGTCTTTGAGCCAGTGCCTGAGGGCGATGGCCACTGGCAGGGACGCGTCCGGACGCTGCTTGAGTGTGGCGTGCGGCCTGGGCGCGGTGACTTCCTCTTCACTGGCCACATGCACTTTGGGGAGGCACGCCTGGGCTGTGCCCCACGCTTCAGGGACTTCCAGAGGATGTATAGGGATGCCCAGGAGAGGGGGCTGAACCCTTGTGAGATTGGCATGGACTGACCTGGGGCCTTGGGGTGCTGCCTCCCTCTCCTGATGAGCCACAGGCTGCGGTGGGTGCTGGAGTCCTGGTGGGGGCTGGGCACCTGGGGCCCAGACCTGATGCCCAAGCTGGAGGTTCTCACCACACTCAGCCCTGTGAGCTCCCAGTCATGGACACCCTGGCTGATTGGAAATGCTGTAAAATGCAAACTAAGTTATTGTATTATGTTTTGTAAAAAAGAAATGTGCATAGGAAACAGTCCTGTGTCGTGAAATGCCTGGGGACCCCATTCGATACCGTTCCTTAAAGACATTTTGCGTCACCACGTGTGGCCGGGAACTGGGTGAAGGGCTGGCTGTTGGTGCCCTGGGTGGTGGGAAGAACCTCGGTACTATTCAAAGCTGTTATTCTCATGACAGAAGTTTACGGACCCAAATACTTAGGTTTTTAGTTTCATTTTATTTTTGAAGAATGAGCATGGCCAGCTGGGGTCCTTTTTGGGCTGCTGGCTGTTTCGTTTTGGAGAATAAAGACCAGGATCCGATGACCCGTGAGCCAGTCTGCCTTTCACTGGGTCAAGCGCCCATGGCCTGGATTGGGCCTCACTAGACACACCCTGGGGCTCCCGCTGGCTCCTCCCAGCTCCCCCTGGGCACCATCCCTCAGCTCCTGCCCCTGTTATCTCCATGAACTCAGGTCCTGCCCTGTGGCCCCAGCCTCCCCAAAGCGTAGGAGCCCACAGAATGTCTCTGGATGCCCAGGAGCTGGTCTGAACCCAGGCTGGTGACCCTGTGTCCCCAAAAGATGCGGCTACCAGAACAAATCACCACCCACTGTGGGGCTGAAACAGCCTCTTTCTCTGAGTTCCTGAGGCCACAATCCATAGTCACAGTGTGGGCAGAGCCTCTCCCTCCAGAAGCTCCTGGGCAGACCCTACATCTTCTCAGCCTCTGGGGGATCCATGCTTCCTTGATGGTAACCCCATTGCTCCAGTCTCTGCCTCTGTGGCCAGGTGGCTTCTCCCCGTGTCTGCATCCAGATCTTCCTCTAACTAGGATATTGGTCACTGGATTGGGGCCCACACCAGTCCCAAATACATCCGCAAAGACCCCATTTCCAAATAAGGTCACACTCAGTGGTTCCTGGTGGATGTGAAATTTGGGGGGATGCCATGCCCCAGCACAGAGGGTCCCTGGGAGCATCGGTTAACCGGACCCAAGCCTGCATTCCCATTTATCATGTGAATCAGGCAGTTGCACCTGTGCAGCTGCCGAGAGCAGAGGGGACCTCGAAGAGGACGGTGTGGTCAGTGGGTACCATGCTGGCTTCACCAATGCTCAGGTACCCTGGGTAAGGACTGAGCACCATCTCAGGTGTGCACTGTCTCAGGTGTGCACCAGCTCAGGTACCCTGGGTAAGGACTGAGCACCGTCTCAGGTGTGCACCATCTCAGGTGTGCACTGTCTCGGGTGTGCACCGTCTCAGGTGTACACCAGCTCAGGTACCCTGGGTAAGGACTGTGCACTGACTCAGGCGTGCACTGTCTCACGTGTGCACTGTCTCGGGTGTGCACCATCTCAGGTGTGCACTGTCTCAGGTGTACAGCAGCTCAGGTGTGCACTAGCTCAGATCTGAGCCAGCACAGGTCTACAGGCTCCCACACATTACTACTAGAAGCAGGTGCTTGTGGGCGAGGACCTGAAGCAGCAGGGCTGGGGCTAGGCCAGGTCCCACCGTGGCTGGTGCCTAGCACATCTTTGCCAGCAGGACATCACAGCACAGGTGCCCAGACCATAGCAGCAAGGAACGGAACTTGCCTCTGGAACCCAGGTTTTCTGGGGTGGCTCCAGGGGGTGTGGACTGCCAGAAGGAGGCTGCAGAACAAGAAGGTGGGGTTTCAGGCTGACAGCCTCTCCTCAGTTGCAGGGATCCTGGGTTTGGCCAGAACCTGGTGTCAGGTGGAGTAGAGGTCACACTTTGTGGGAGGCTTCTGCTTCTAGAAGTGCCTGTGGACTGGGGATCTTTGGTCCAGAGTCTAGGAGAGGGCAAGGCTTGCTAAGCAGGAAGTCTCTCCGGTGTGGGGGCCGGGGCTGAGGTGGGAGTGGTCCTGGAGGCTGTTGTGAGAGGCAGCTAAGGCTGTCAGGTCCTGTCAGGAGCCTCCTCTCTGTGGCCTGGGAGCTTAGTACCACCGGGGAGTCTCCCCAGCGGCCTGGGCTGCTTGTGGAGGGCAGTTGGAAGATCCCCATTTCCCAGCGCCTGCAGCGCCCAACCTCCCTCTGACCTGTGCCAGAGCCTCTGGGGTGTCAGGCCATGACGCACTCAGGGGCTCCCCTTCCCCACCCTCCCTCAGCACCAGCTCTGTCTGTTCTGCTCCTCTGATGCTGCCTCTGGTCAAACTCTGAGGCCTTCAGAGGCCCCAACACCTTTCTTGTCACCTCGTCCTCAGATGGTACCGGGAGCCCCAGCCTGATGGGTTTGCTGTGTTTGGTGGTCACTGCACTCCTTGGTCTCTTTACAGAGGGGCAGCCTTACCTCTCCTTCACTCCCCTGCCAGGCGGGGCCCCCACATCAGAGCTGGGGATTCAGAGACTCATGAGGGTGCTGGACCCAGCCTTATCCTGCCACCCATGGGATGCCCTGAGGAGCTAAGGCCCCCATAGTCCCTGGAGACTTAGGGGCGTCCACCTCTCTTCCATCCCCGACCAAGGCCAAGGCCTCTGGCACAGGATCCCTCTGGGGCCAATGACTGCCTGCTGTGCTTCTTGGGATGCTGGGGATCTCCAAGAGCCATGAATGTGGGCACCCCATACCCTGCTGCCCCAGGCAGGATATCCTGATGGTCCTGGGGCCTCGTCCCTTTGCCAGGTCAGGACATGGCTGGAGGTCCAGGACAGGGCTGTGAGGTCCAGAGCAGGGCTGTGAGGGTCAGGACAGGGCTGTGAGGGTCAGGGCAGGGCTGTGAGGGTCAGGGCAGGGCTGTGAGGTCCAGGCAGGGCTGTGAGGGTCAGGGCAGGGCTGTGAGGTCCAGGCAGGGCTGTGAGGGTCAGGGCAGGGCTGTGAGGTCCAGGCAGGGCTGTGAGGGTCAGGGCAGGGCTGTGAGGGTCAGGACAGGGCTGTGAGGGTCAGGGCAGGGCTGTGAGGTCCAGGCAGGGCTGTGAGGGTCAGGGCAGGGCTGTGAGGTCCAGGACAGGGCTGTGAGGGTCAGGGCAGGGCTGTGAGGTCCAGAGCAGAGCTGTGAGGTCCAGGACAGGGCTGTGAGGTCCAGGGCAGGGCTGTGAGGTCCAGGGCAGGGCTGTGAGGTCTGGCTGCCTGCTCAGCTCTGGTACCTGCCCTCCTCAGGTGCCCACAGCCATGAACATGCACAGGGCGGATCTACAGGTCCTCTGAGGAAAAAGTGAGGGTCCAGGTTGAGTGTGTGGGTGCTGGGTGTGCAGAACTCCCTTCTAACTTTGAGGGTAGAGGTGGGCTTCACGGGGGAGGTGGGCTTTGAGCCAGGCCTGGAACTCAGCATCTGGAAGTGACTTCCAGCTCTCCCTGAGCTCTCTCCTCTGCAGGACACCCCAGCCTGCACATCTGTGGCCCCAGCTCCTTCCTGGGGAATCATGACCCTGCCTGGCACCCCAGGGTGAATGCTGTACCCAGCCCTGAGGGTTCCCATCTGCTGGGGGCATCTGACCTGGGCAGGCCAGGGTGGGCATGAGGGAGTCCAGTGCAGCAGGTGCAGGGTGGCCCTGGGAGACGCTGCCTTGGCTGGGGCCTGGATTCTCTGGGTCATCACCAGTGCAGGGGGTCCTGGCTTACCAGACTTTGCCACTGGAGAGGTTGGGGAGCTCTACATGAAGGCAAGGAGGCCGGGGTCAGGATGCAGTTTGTCCCAAGAGCAACCGGAAAAGCCGTCACAGCGCAGATTGCACTGTTCTCGCCGAAGGCCTGGTCCTGTCTGGTCCTGCCCAGTCCAGCAACTGCTTCCCCTCCAGGGCAGCTTCCAGCAGCCCCCATGTGCTCCAAGAGCAGTGAGACTTGCCCAAGAAGAGTCAGAGGCTTCAGAGCTCTTGGAGGTGGTAGCTTCTCCCAGTAGCCCGGTATCTGTCAGGCCCCACATAAGGGAAGGGGGGTTGGCAAGGCTCCTCCTTGCTCCCAAAGTGAGAATCAGACCCCCTTTTCCAGCTCCCACTTGTCCCCTCCACCTGCCCTTTTCCCTCCGGGAAGCCCTGGAGGTTTTCCAAGAACTCTCCGGGTCGGGGACAGCCTGTGCCAGGCAGGGTGGAAGGGGGTCCTCAACCTTTCACCCTGGGGTCCAGTCAGCTGATGGCTATGAGAGAGAAGCTGAGAGCCACCAGAGCCCACGGGTCCACCCTGGTCCCCGATCTGCAAACGCTGGCCCGTGGGAGCTGTGACTCAGTTCCACACTGGTCCCCGATCTGCAAACGCTGGCCTGTGGGAGCTGTGACTCGGTTTCCACGCTCCTCCCTGATCTGCAAACGCTGGCCCGTGGGAGCTGTGACTCGGTTTCCCACTTGTCACGGGCTGGCTGAGGGCCCAGCATGTGCAAGCAGTGTCTGGTCAGGCAGGAACATGGTCCGTGTTTGCAGGTGTCTCCATGTGTGGGTGTGTGAGAGGCGTCAGCTGGGATGCTGGGGTGGCGAGGACAGTCCTGGCTCCGGCCTCATCCTGCCTCAACCTTGACTCCCTCTACACAAGGAGCCACCCCCACTTCCTGACTAATCCTATGAGTGTAGCCTCCTCTGCTGGGAGGGCTCTGTTGGAGGTTCCAGAAGGAAAGCCGGCTGCAGGGAGGGCCAGGCACTGGGCACTGTGTGGCTGAGCCTCTAGTGGGGGTGCTGCAGAGCTGGGTTTCCAGACCCCCTCCTTGGCCACCCCCCACACCCACCCTCTGCTGAGGGGCCAGAGCTCCGCTGCAGGTCCCACGGGTGGGGGTGGGGCCGCTCATTAGTGCTGCAGCTGACACCGAGGCCTTCCACCTCGCTAATTGATTAAACTGTTTAGAAACCAGGCCGGCATGGTGGGAACTGGCCCAGCCAGGCAGTGGCCCAGGAGTTCATCAGTCAGGCGGGTTGGTGGGGTCCCCTCCCTGGCCGCCCTCGGGCACCCTTCTTTGCCCCTCTGTGTGGTCAGAAGTAGTGAGTGTCCTGGGAGGAGCTGGTGAGACCCTGGGGCCCTCTCCTCCCGGACAACTCACTCAGCAAGCACGGAGGGAAGCACACTGTGGACCAAACGTCCCAGGGCCTGCCTGCAGGGGTTGGACCAGGCTGGTGAAGGACAGCAGTGCCTTACTCCATTCCAGGAGGGGCACGGGGCTGTGAACACAGGCCTGGGGAAGCAGTCCCTGGAGGCCCGAGAGCCTTCCGGGGAGCCACTGGGTGCTCCTGGGCCCTGCTCTCCTGGGATTTTCTGTGCCTGTGACCTCATCCTCCTCCTTCCTCTCCTGTGGGGTTCCCCCAACACCCTCTCCCCTCATGCCATCCCTTCCCCCAGCATGCCTGCCCTCCGCAATGCCCCCGACTCCCAGGTCTTCCATCAGGACATCAGCTGG